TTAGTCATAAATATGTGATTATTTAAAAAATGTGACTATTTTGTTAAAAAGACAAAAAAGTGATAAAGGTCATATAGTTGGAAAACCATGATGTCACTCTTAAAATTTTATGTCTCATATTATATTTTTATGTCACTGCCAAATTTTTACGTCACTTTTTAATATCACTATCGGTTTTCATGTCACTTTCGGATGTCAGTCCCGCCGTGAAACGTGTCACTATTCGCCAGATAATTTTATGGCGTCCTACCACCACAGCCATCTCCCCATAGACCCCCATTTCCCCTGCTCCTCCCCCGCCTCAGCACCCCAAACCCAAGCCCCTACCCCTGACCTGCCCCCAGCCACCGTAGCTAGGGTGGCTAGAGCCTTTAGTTTACCTGTCGACCGCTACCTCTGCCACCGACCACTGCCCCACCCCGACTCCCCAGCTCCCTCCCAGACCCCCAGCCCCCCCTCTGCAACACCCTCCACCCCTCGACGGCAGGCGAGCAGAGGTGGTTCGCAGAGAAGAAGAAAGGCGAAGGAGTTGCACTGGCAGGTGTAGCCTACATCGCCATCACTCTTTGTGGCCACCTCTATCGATTGAAGAATCGATGCAGGGGCTGGTCGCATCTTCGTCGCAGGGGCTGGTCGCATCTTCGTCGCAAGGGCTGGTTGTAGCTTCATCACAAACTCCAAATCTCCAATTTTCGAAGAAGGTAGGGTAGCCAGAAGACGGGACTTCGATGGAGTGCAAGAATTTTATTTCAAAATGGTCACTTTTCTATCAAGTTTTAAAATTGACATATTTTTGTCTAATGAAAGTTGGGAAATAATATTTGTGTCATTCTTTCTAACAATAATGCGGAGTATATTTGATCGTTATTGCTGTAAAAACCATGCTGCTTGATCCATTTGGCACTTTAAGTCATTGGTTTTATGTACGTTGACCCTTATGATCATATCATGTACTTTTTTTCCTTCATAATAAATCTTCTCCGTCATTTATTTATCGAGAAAAGGGGCAAATAAAGCCACGTACTAACCAAAAAAGGTCAAATAAGGTCTGTTTTAAGAGACAATGTCCGGCCATCGCCATTTGGGGTGGTTCCCGGTGGAATTTTTTGATGAATTTGTTTGAGCATCTTATTCAGTAAGTCTAGTTTACTCATATCAAATTTCAGCTAACAATTCAATCGGGAAGACATTCAAATGAATTCTTGAAGATAACTGCGCAGTTATCTTCAAGAATTCATTTTAATGTCTTCCCGATTGAAGTTTTAAGTGAAATTTGGTATGAGTAAACTAGACTTAATGAATAAGATGGTAAAAACATTTTCATCAAAAAATTCCACTGGGAACCACCCGAAATGACGAAGGCCGGACAGAGCCTAAAAAATAAGGCCTTATTTGACATTTTTTGATTAGTACAGGGCCTTATTTGCTTTTCCCTTATTTATCCGACTCGTTTTGATAAAGAACAAATAGGAAGACTTACGGACCTCCCCAAAAGGGATATTTAAAACTAAGAAGAGTGTAAAGTATGACCCCAGCGCTCCAAATATCAACCTCCGGGCCATGACCGCCCCCTTTTAAAACCTCAGGAGCCACATAAAGGGGAGTGAAGCATTTAAGATTACATGGATCACCTACACAAAATACAAAAGAACCCTTTCTTAATGTGTTTTAATCAATGTGCTAAAAAAAAGTGTTCTAATCGAAAATGCAGATGCAGATGATTTGATGATTTTTTCTAAAGGTCATTATTCATCTATTAAAATATTAGTGGATGCCTTGAACGACTTTGGATTAGCTTCGGGTCTTATGGTAAATCTTGATAGAACTAATATTTTTTTAGGTGGAAATGTCGAAAGTAGAATTCCTTATATTCTTGAAAGGGTAGGTTTTCAACAAGGATCCTTTCCGGTAAGATATTTGGGTATTCCTTTGGCTCCTTTGAACATATCTGTAGCTCAATTTTCTCCATTGATTGACAAGGTTACAGCTTATCTAGAGGCATGGAACTCAAAAACTCTATCCTATGCCGGGAAGGTTGAGTTGATTTCATCCGTTATGCAGGGGGTCCAATCCTTTTGGCTAGGTATTTTTCCTATGCCGAGGGCCATCCTTGATAGGATTACCTCCCTATGTAGACTATTTCTGTGGGGAAGTAAGCGTGCTAAGGTAGCATGGAGTGACGTGTGCTTACCAAAAAATGAGGGGGGATTGGGAATTAGGGATACAAAGGTTTGGAATAGTGCTTTACTTACTCGTACCCTTTGGAATATTCATGCTAAAAAAGAAACTTTATGGGTAAAGTGGGTACATGGGGTTTATCTTCATGGAAGAGATGTGTGGACGTTTGGGCCACACACCAAGGACTCACGGCTTATGAAGACAATTGCCAATATCCGGGATTTGATTGTTTCCAAGTTCCCTTCTTTGGACATGGCCGTAGTTCAACTTGAAAAGTTTTCCCAAAATGGGAAAATTTCTTCTTCAAAGGTGTATGATTTACTCATAATTAAAGGTACGGTGCACCCCTGGATGTCCTTTATTTGGAAGAGCTATATTCCACCTAAATTCTCTTTCAGTACGTGGCTTGCCTTCCGGGGAAGACTAGCTACGTATGATAGGTTAGGTTTTCTTGATGTGGTGAATACTTGTCATTTTTGTAAGGGTGACCCGGAAACGGTGCCACACCTATTTTTTGAATGTGCATTTAATTTACAGGGCAGGTATGGAACATGGTTCGTGACTGGCTTGGATTATCTAGATAGATGACTACACTTTCAAGTGCGGTCAAATGGATCAAGAAGGAACATCATGGAGCAAATGCTAAGGCCAAGGCCGTGAGGCTCTCTTTTTGCTACACCATCTATTGGACTTGGAGGATGAGAAATCTGATTTGTTTTGAGAAGGCCAAGACGACAGTGTTAGATATGGCTAAACATATCAAGTTTATGGTGTATAAAATCTTATATTACATGTATCCAATAGATAGGATAACATTTTGATTTTTGCTGATTCGTCACCATGTTTTGTGATGGCTAGCATGTTTGCGTAGCTATAGGTGGTTTTTGGGAGGTGACTGGGTATCCTTGCTTGGGATGACCCATACGATCTGTTTTGCTATTATACAGATGTACATATACACTTTGGATATATATATTTACATTTTATCCAAAAAAAAAAAATTCTGTATGTTAATGTATGTGTACTTTTATAAGTGAACCTAGCTAGCTCATCCCTTTTTTCCGAAAGATTGCATATATAGTATTATAGTTGATATGGTTTTTTCCATGTCTAAATAAACCTCAACCAAATTGTTTTGTTACTAAAATAATCCTTTGAAGCAAGGTTAAGTAGTGGTTCATACGACCTTAATTATCATATAATCACACTTGTGTTGTTCTAGGCAAATTAAAGTTGCAATCTACTTATGTATCCAAATAAAAGTATTAGCAAAATGATTACATTATGTCATGTTGTTAATGTTAGCTCACCGGGTTTAATGAAATCCGATATTCCAAAATCAATTGCCTTTAATGTAAAAGTTTCATCGCTACGTTCATACATTAAATTTCGAGGTTTGATGTCACGATGCATCACTCCATTCTTGTGCAGCATCTGCAATGTAAAAGCGATTCAGCAAGTATTTTTTTATTTTTTTAAAGTAGGAAGTAATTCCTAGTTACATGCAAGTTAGGGAGGGGATGCTTGGGGCCGGGATTCCAGGTTAATAATCGAACTTACAATAATAAAGAAAGTGAACTGAATAATTCTACGAATTTCGTAGTAAACTTCTAGACTAATTTTTATTCTCATTTCTTTGAAAAATATGAAAAGATACCATAGGTAGGTATATTTTACATTATAATATTTTCCTAAATTAAAATTATATATGTCATGTTGTGTGCGCGTGTATATCGTTTCCAGGTACGAAAAAAAAGACATGATTATATATAAATTAGGGTATTCAATGCAGGCAATTGATTAAAAGAAAATAGTCCTAAGTAGGAGTAAACTAGTCCCGACATGCACAAATAGAACTATTTTGTTTATCTTACCAAAATAGGATTAAAGTATGTTCTATCTTCCTATTCTACTCTTACCAAAAATAATTAGAAAGTCGTATTTTAATTTGTAATAAAAACATAAAAATAATAAATAATATTTCAATTCATAAAAATATCCAAAAAATATAAAAAAAATTAGAAATGTTTTTTAAAAATAATATAATAATGAAAATTAAAAAATTCTTAAAAATATAAAACTTTAAAAATCATTACAAATAGATAAAACACATAAAATAATATAAAAAATTATAGAGGCCTTTCATGCAGCTTCTGCCACCCCAAGGCAATGCCACCCCTGATTGATAAAAACAATGACATTTTGTGTAAAAAAAATTCATTTTGTATTGAAAGTGCCATTCAAATGTCATTTTTCTCTTTAAAATGCCAAATGTTTATCTAAAATTGCCATCAAGAGTCTTGCATATTTATTTACTACGTACATCCTCCGTTATCTTTTAATTGCAACAGTCAACATTTCACGTTTGCCAATGCACAAGTTTGACCATCAATATCTTTCATTTTTTATTAGTAAAAAAATTAAAAAATTCATAATTTGAAAATTTAGAATGAGAAGAATTTAACAATAATTTTTAAAAATTTATTTTAAAATACATTAATAAATAAAATGTAATCAAAGTAGAATATGTGAATAGTGCAAAAAGTCCAATGTTGCATTTAAAAGAGAACGAATGTAATATATGTTAGCCTTTTTTCCCGGTGGTTGGGTTTGGTGGTGCAAAGAGGTTGTTGAGGAGGGAGGAGAGCCTTGCATTTTTTTACTACGTATTTTTTATTTTAATTTTTTTTAATTTTATAGGTTTTTTATATTTTTTATTTTTATTAATTTTATTTAATATTTATTTTCTTGTTTTTTATTTATTTACATTTTTATTATAAATAAAGTTATTACATTGAAATTATGTTTTAACTATTACGTACGTATTAATGAAACATGAGTTATTATTTTATTAAAAAAAGCAAGGGTAAGATGGAAAAGGTAGTCCTATTTAGAGAATTTTAAAGTTATACTCTATTCTTTCCTGCAAAAGCATTTCATTTAGTCGTATTTAATGAGTGTATATTGATTTATTTATTAGATAGACCTGGATAACTTGCACAATAGCCCTGGTAAGGTTTGAAGCCTCCTCCTCTGTGAGGGTGAGGCCCAAGAGCGTCCTTTCGTGGAAGGGGTGAAGCAACGAATTGCCCTTTAACAGCTCCATCACAATGTGGATTTGGTCGTCATCTTCAAAAGCGCCTTTGATGGTGACAACGTTTGGGCAGTTCTGCAAGTGGTACAAGATCGCAATTTCTCTCCTCAGGCATTCAACGTCCTCATCATTCTGCACCAGTTTGGCTTTGACCATGGACTTGCACGCCAGTTCCTCGCCGGAGTCCAAATCTATGCACACGCGTACCACCCCCCACCCTCCTCTCCCCACCTCCCGGCTATGGTCAATCCAGTACTTTTCATGAATGTTATGCCATGTTGGGTTTTTCAATACAACAAGCTGCTGGTGCTTCTTATTGTTCTTCTTCTTCTTATTAGTATCATTGCATGCTAAACTGCCCTCCCCACCGTCAACGGAAACCGTCGTAGTCCCGCTAGCGTTGGCCGTGGTGTTTGAGCACGATTCTGTGCTGCTGCTGCTGCTGCTGCCGGAATCATCATCACTTCCTTCTTCAATCCTAGAAGCTACTCTTGCTGACCCAGGGGCGGATCCAGGAATTTGGGGCTGAATAGATATTATACTAGGTTAAAATATTAGAGGGGTGGGCTAAACGTGAAAAATGAAAAAAATTACATTAAAAAATTTGAAAATTTTCTAAATTGCTTTGGATTTCAGCTTACCATAGCTCGTGCATAGATCCTCCCCTGTGCTGACCCATTAATACCTTCCCTTTTTGTAGAACCGTAAAAAAGTTTAGCAACCCAATTTCCCATCCCTGCGCGTGCCGGCACCTACCTACAAGCTCAAAGCTAATCAAGCTGATATATACATCCTTATTTTTTAACAATTTGAGTTTTCTAACACATCTAAACCCCACCCCTAGTTGCTTAAAGAATTTATATTAGGGGTCTAAGTTGAAAATTTCATGATATGCCCTTGAGACCAGAAATACGGTAGTAATCAAGATTTTCCATAAAATTCCAAAAAAGATTGGCCAATTTGACTTTTCTTGGTCAATGATGTTAAAGTTTAGACATTGATTTTAAGTATTATATTTGAGTGTAATTTATAAATTTTATACTTTTATGAAAGATTTTTTAATAAAGAATAAGCTCATATATTTTTCATATTTTAAATAATTTTGTATGAAAAGATATCATTGGTCAAACTTGACCACCATTGACCAAGAAAAGCCAAATTGGTCAATCTTTTTGGGACGGAGGGAATAATTATAGTACGCATGAGATGGTGTTTTCATGAAAACCTATAATTATTATTATTAGAACATTTCATTTATAATTATAATAGAATAAATAATAAGAAAAACACAACTAGCTAGTAGGGCTTACTTCAAAAGATCAGGCAAATTGTTACGGAGTATTAGTCAAATAGGATGTGTTTTTGATTTAAACATGCATCTATATATATAGCGATCTATATAAAGAATCTATATAAAGAATGACTTAAAACATACGTTGAGTATAACTTGAAATCACCGTGATGGTTAATTTACCGAACTAGAAAGTTTGAATGTGTAATATAGAAGATACGAATTGCATAAATGTCAATCTTTATTAGTTTTTTCATGTTCAAAAATTCGTAATTGCTTGTATAATATAATGACACAAGACTTCAGTCATTGTCTTTAGCATATCATTATATTAATAGAAATTAGAAACTATCTTAAAATAGGAGTATAAGGTTAAGTACCTAAATAAGACAAAAAAACATGCCAAAAAATCATAAATATAACTACCATAGTACCATGCATGTTTCAAATTTCATAAATAGGACTAATCATGTGTGTTTGGACATATATAACCCGGTAGCTTTTAGGAATAAAATAAATATTTAATAAATAATAAAAAATAAAAAATTATGTGTTTGTATTGGGAGGTGGTGAGAAAGGCATTATTATTTTATGATTTTTTATTATTTATTATGAGTTTTATTATTTTTTACCATGCATGTTATTATGAATTAAAATATTTTATTATGAATACCTTTAAGGGTATTAATGGTAGAAAATATTTGTTTAATCCTATTTGTGAATGATTTAGATTTTAGTCCTGTTTGTGTAATTAAGTTTTCATTTAGTCCTATATATTTAGGTTAATTACTATACGATATTGAGCATGATAACATACATGAGCAACTGAGCAACCCGTTTTTCATTGAATATTGAGCATTATTTGCTATTCCCTTAATAGGATTGCAAATTCTTTTCATATTTATTGTTATCGTGCCATGGTTTAGGGATATATCTTTTTAATCGTACTAATTTTTTTTGGTGTAGTCTGATCTGATCGGATTTGGTTGAGTTTGATTTGGTCTGCTCTCGACTGATAGATGCTCGTTCATTCTATGTATTTTTGCAATTGTTGAAATCTGTTTTGGTATGATCTGCTCTAATCTAGTCTGATATTATATGTTTAAGTTTGATATGGTCCGATCTGATCCAATTAAAAATATCCTTGTTGAAATTCATGTATGTTGGCCTGCGGGTATACAGTGACAACAATTCTATCAACCTGTCGGTGCAATTGAAATGTGGCACTACGCCTGTTATATTTGCAGAAGACATGCTATACTGTCAATAATTGATTTTAGTATACCGGTAAACGCAACGATCCTCAACTAATATGATAGTATCTGTAACACTTGAGATTTAATATAAATGGATTAATAGTACTACTCATACCAACAGAGGTGCATCTCCTTTTAAGGGAGCTCATTATCTAAGAACTCCAAAGTTAAGCGTGCTTGCTCGGGAGTAGTCTTGGGATGGGTGACCCCCTGGGAAGTTTCTCAGGGCGCGCATGGGTGAGGACAAAGTGCGCGGTAAAGGCTTGTGGTGGTTTGTGAGGACAGTACTAGAGGTCTGAAGTAACTACCTCGGGTCCCACGGGGCCGGGGTGTTACAGGTGGTATCAGAGCCAGGTTTGCGACAATGTGCTGACCCGTTGGATATCGGGCGGGCATTTTAGCAGGGGAAAAGATTCTGGGTGTGATTGAGATTGGTTTAAGGGCGCAACGAGGACGTTGCGATCCTAAGTGGGGGTGATTGTAACACTTGAGATTTAATATAAACGGATTAATAGTACTACTCATACCAACAGAGGTGCATCTCCTTTTAAGGGAGCTCATGTAGCATCCCAATTTTATGAGCTAGTTCCTTTAGTTATTATTATTATTATTTCAGTCAGTTATAAGTTTATTTTATGATTTATGTGATTTATTATTTTATCATGTTCTGGTTGTGGCAGGTAACGTTGACCGGTAAGCTCATAAAAAGTTTAATCAAAGAAATAAATACTATTTTAATATTTATTTAGTATATATTTATTAGTATATTATTGAAAGAAGAATATACTGATTTTGTTGGGTCAGAAGCATTTTTTTTAGAAGACTTAGAGGCCTAAATCAGTTATCTTAACCCGAATCAGTATCTTGATTAAAGCCCTAAAAAGGAGTATTACATATGCACGCCCTTCTTCTTCTTCCACCGTTAGTAGCCGCATCTTCCCTTCACTTCCCCAAACAGAGCTATTGCTAAATTAAGTCTTGGATTACATCTCATACATGGTAAATTGAATACTCTATACTTCCTAAAATATTTTATCAAATTCCTAGTTTCAGTTTGTTTCCTCGGCAAATCAATTTCTCTAATGATAGTGGATAAATTCAACGAGTGCAGGAGTAATTTTGAGTTTGTGGTGTGGGGTCATTAATCCGTATCTTTAATTACTCCAATTCGAATGTCATCTAGTTTGAAAAGTAGTAATGGGATTTATTGATCAATTCAGAACTTTTAGACTTAAATTCAGATTTTACTGTTTGAGAAATTTCAGTTTCCAGTTTTGAAGGCATAATTATCTGAAAAATGATTTGTTTAAAGTTAAGCTTGAGTTGTTTCAATTGGTTCTGTTGAAGTAGTTCACAATTAGATTAGTCAAACTAAAGTTTGAGAAGCTTTGTAATCCAGATTTTCTTAGATTTTAACCCCATTCCCTGCTGCCTACATCGGTTTCCAGATGTGTCTTTTTCTTTCCAAAAGGGTTTAAATGGTCTGAATTTCAAAGATCCACAAAGACATCGTTTTTTTTATATATCTAACTAATAGTTTCAGTGAGTGGCCCAAAGACATCATTGTTATTTTTATTAGTTTCTTAAAAGTCAATCCAATTTTCACTTCGTGTTGTAGAGTAGCATCAGGATGTATAAGAAAATCTAATTGTATTACTCCGTATTATATTTAATTAAAGATTTTTAAGGAAGAGCTTCCTGGGAGACGTTATCATCAAGGTGCCACGCTTATTTGAGTATTTTGAGTTCAACTATTAACAGGTAAGTTCACTACCACCTGTACATGTTTGTTCAACCAAATGCAAGAAAGAAGTCTGGTTGATTTTTAATAGATAATTTTAGACTATTTGCTATTATGTGAACTATGTGAATTATGTGATGAGTTATTTTATTGCTAGATTAAGCTATGTTTATTATCTGGCATAGTCAAGATTTGTTAGTACTTTTGTTTCCAGATTTAATGATGTTTTTAGTCAAACGTCACCATAAAAAGAACTAATACTTAAAGTGAAAGATTAAGTGATATGTACTCGGGAACTAGTTCCCTCAGATTAGCAGTTTTAGTTTTAGATAGTCCGATATGTTTAGTGGGTCACTCCACAGTTAAAATTAGCCACAAAGAGTTTACAGAAAGTTTAATGAGATCTCTTTCAGAAAGTTTTACAGAAAGTTGTTTTTGAGATCTATTCAGAAAGTTTTACAGAGATGTTTTGAGAAAGAAATTTTGAGATCTCTCCGACAGTTTTGAAAAATTATTTTAGAAAATATTTTCCTTATGAGATCTCCCTCAGAATGTATTTGAGAAGTTGTGTGTTAGTTATTTGTTCAGTACATGCTTATAGCCTAAATTTATCTATTGATAAATTGGCATAGACTTCTATATATTTTTGTGGATCCATAGTGACTTACTAAGCGTAAAGCTTATCAGTTTTGTTTCTTCGCATGTACAGATACAAATACTAAGGGTAAGGCCAAGGCCTAGGAAGATGATGAGAGAGTGGAACACGTGCCAAAATGAGTTAGCGGGAACGACCTTGGTGGCTTCTAGCTAGTTATTATTTTTATTTCAGTATTTCAGTTGTTATAATAAAGAGATTATTATTTCTTTATTTTATTGTGGATTTGAGTTTTGAATAAACTAGTTTTCCACCCGTGCGTTGCACGGGGTGTAAGATACAAATATTATAAATCTAAAAAAAATCATTTTACCTCTAAATCAAATTAAGGGTTGTATTATATTTTATCACGGGAATGAGAGTAAACATTATTAAATACATAATAAAAAATATTTGGAGTTTAATAAGCATACAATTTTATAAATTATTGAAGACTTCTTTGTAGACAACATTTTTTGCGGTCTTTTTTCGATTTCCCTCGTCGTCACATATCACGAACTTCAATCCAGACGGACTCGTCACCCTCGAAACTGCAACATATAACTGGCCATGTGTAAAAACTGGGCGTCGTAGAAAAACGCCCACATTCTCTAATGATTGTCCTTGGCTCTTGTTCATCGTCATTGCATAGCTAACCATCAAGGGGATGTATATAGGTCGATTTACTGCATGTATATAGAGAGAGTTGCACGTTTCCTTTTAGAAGTGCAGTTTTCCTTGTAGGGTTTGATTCTAGGTTTGATTCTAGGTGATGAATATACTTACCATTTTCAAGTTTTTATTCTTCAAAAAAAGGTTTCGCATATGATTGAGAGTACTTACCATTTTTAAATATTTCTTTAATAAACAAAACGCTTTTTTATTGTAGAATATACTTACATGTTATTTGAACAGCCTCAAATTTAAGACAAAGAGATGAAGTATGTAGATATTATTATACTTTTTAACAAAGTTCTTTCGTTTTATATATGTATACATATATATATATATATATATATATATATATATATATATAGAAATTATATATATGTGTGTGTGTGTGTGTGTATGTGTGTGTGTGTGTTACTACCTTCATCCCAAAATAATTAGCCAAATCCAAAACTTTGACCAAAACCATTGTAGAACAGCTCAAGTGCCACAGTCCCACTTCCTCATTCATTTCAGTTTGTTGACTCTAAAACACAGAAAATAGTAAAAAAAAAAAAAAACAATAGTCAGAAGCTATAATGTATCTACTGCAGATTTTCTAAGTAATGTTAGCTATAATGTTACTACTCTGCCTATTCAGCATGGCCGAAAATTTAACATACTAATCGATAAGTATGCTTTACAACAAACCTTAGCTGAGTAGGGATGTCATTCTAACTTAATTCTCATGAAGAAGCATATGAC